TAGTTATTTTAAATTTTGGTAGCCTCATGAGGATGATAGGGATGTTTCTTTATTACTTTAATTAGCATTTTCTCAATTCTGGTACATTCAAGCATCTTTTTGTGCCTTTGTTGTCTCCCTGGATTTGTGTCTATGAATTGCCTTTTCTTATTCTTTGATCATTTTTCCACTGGGCAGTTAGTTAATAAACCACTTTCTATACTATACAAATTATTTTGTCATTTGTGTTAGTTACAAGTATTTTTCCCCAAATCTGTCATCCTTGCTTTGAGTTTGTTTATAGTATCTATTACCATATATACTGGGAAGGAGATGGATTTGTAAAATTTAATTTTTAATTGACAAATAATAACTTGAGACCATATACTATTTATACTCTCAGGGGACCACATACATCCTCAGTGTGGTTGCCTGCATCTTTTCTGTGTTTTCTAATCTTACTAAGGTTTCTTTGCCCCTAGATTTTTTAGGAACTCTCCTGGATATTGCTGTAATAATTTGTTTTGTTATTTACAATTAATACTTTTAATTCTGGGGAATATATTTTCATATATGGTATAAAATAGGGATTTAACTTAATTTTATTTTAGATGGATAGCCAGTATATTGGTACTGGTTTTTAAATAATTTACTATTTCCTACTAAGTAGAGCTACCACATTTGATAGATAATGTATATTTAAATTCTTATAAATAATACTATTTCTAGAATTTCTTTTCAACTGATATATTTCTCATTCTCACACCAATACTATACTCACTTTCTATCAGTCTTCTAATATACTCTGGGAAGCCAATCGCCCTTTGACTATTCTTTCTTACTCTTTTTTTGCTATTCTTGAGTAATTATTTTTCCATATTAAGTTTTAAATCATTTCATCTGGTCTCCCCCTCCAAAAAAATCTTTCAATTTTAATTATAGTCACATAAAATTTACACATTTCATTGGGAGAATTGATATTTTGATGATAGTCTATATTTATATAAAAAAATGGTGTATTTTTCTGTTTGTTCAAACCTTGTTCTGTGATGCTTTCTAAGACTGAATTTTCTTCCTGCGGATGTACCTTCATTATTAACTGTATTCCTAGATGGTTTTGCTCACTATTTTATGAACAAAATATTTTTTCCCTTTCACTTTCTAAATGCTTACTGTTAGACTAGAGAAAAGCTATCAACATGTGTATTTATTTACCTTATACCCTCTTACTCTTGTATTCTCTTATTAATTTTAATGCCATTTTTAGAAGTTAAGAGTATTTTAGATTTTTGTATCATCAGCAAAAATAGTTATTTCTTCTCTTCAAGTGTTTATTCCAGTAATATTTTTTCTTTTTCTTTTTTATTGCATTCACTAGATCTTCCAAGAAAAAGTCTAATTGAAAAAGTCATAGCAGACTTTCCCAGCTAGATGATCATGATATTAAATGAAATTTCTTTGGGAGGGTTTTTGTTTGGCTTTTCCCTGGCCTTGGGTGTCAAACTTGTTATGCTAAAATAAATAGTTTCCAGGGTTGACACTTGTGCATTTGATGGAAGTTTTCTTTGGAAATATTTTAATTTATATATATATTTATATATTTTATATATAGATATAGATATATGGAGAGAGAATCTGCCAAAAATGTATACATCAGGAAAAGAAAAACTTGTATAAATATTTTAATACTAAACTTATTGAGACATCATGAGATTAATACAAATTATCTTTGGCCTCTACTACAATTACACCAAGTGCTCATTGTGGTGGCCATGAGCTTCCAAATATTTATTAGTATGGCGAACTGCTGAAGTGTGTATGCATTTTTTGGCAGACTCTGTGTGTGTGTGTGTGTGTGTGTGTGTGTGTGTGTGCGTGTGATTTCCTCAGAGTCATAGTTTAGAGTTTTATTGAGTGGGTGCTTTATTGTCTTGAATACCTTTTCAGCATCTATTGAAAAGATCATATTTTTCTCCTTTAGTTTGTTGAAGTAATAATATGTTAATTTCCTGCTGAGAAAATAGTTTTGCATTCCTGGAGTCAACTCTACCTAGTTTATTGATATGGCAAGTGGCTCTATTCTATTTAGAATTTTTGTTTTTCTGCTTATAAATGAAATACAGTTTCTTACAATGGAGATCTTGATAGGATTTGGAGACAAAAATCAGAGGAGATTGGTCTGATAGGAAACTGGAATGTTATTACCATCAATATTATCAGAAAAGCATTTACTATAAATGGAAGATATCGAGGTCATAGTAGCAGATACAAGTTTTCAAAAACTTTAAAATTTTCACTCAAAAGCTTGAATTTCATCCTTGGCAGCAAATACTGCCAATTGTTTTCCTTGAGGGGATAAGCAGCCTTCATCCGCTTTCAAGAACATGCCTGACAGTTACAAAGTCTTAATGACCATGGCTTGCCTGCCAATTGCTCTTTCCAGTAAAGATGGCGTTCTGTCAAAAAGTAGGCAGTGCTGCTCACAACAATGCTTTTGTTAGAGACCACCGCATACTTCAGCATGCAGCACACGCACTTTATGCACACGTTCCAGCTAGGTGCACAGCACATTAAGAGTCATGTATTCAAGGATTGGGACTTAATAAAATTAAGAATGTTTACTGATCCATCAAGGACATTCTTGAGTGGAATTGGCATTTTAAAATAAAAACTACAGTGACCACTGATGTAACTGGAAGCCATCTTCCCCCACGCTGCTCTTGCTCCATTTGGGTGAAAGGCAACACAGGAGAACAGCGAATAACCTCTTGGTGCTATTACAAAAACCTTTTTATATTTGTTCATTTATTTATTTAATAACTGAAATGTTTTCTTATTAGTATATTTTCTTTTCTTCATTTCTGTTCTTAATTTTTTTCTGTTTTATTGGTATGTTTGTAATATATATTCATTGTGATGAGTTGGTATGTGTATGTAACATATCCTGATTTGGGTTTTATCCTCTTCCTATCCCCTCCCTCCTCCCTGCATCTTTTGGACCCATTCATTCATTCATATATATATATATATGATGTTTGTAGTAAATAATGATGCATTCCTCATAGGTACTTGGTACATGTTCACTATTCACAATTCCTCCATTTTTAAAAAATTAATTTCCCTCCCCTCCTTCCCCCTTCCCTCTGTCTCTCGGGTTCCTACCCATATGCCAAAGATTCATCTCACTATTTCCTATTGCCTATCTTTTATTTTGCATTTTATATTTTGGGTTTCTCAGGTAGGAGAAACCATGTGCTATTTAAGCTTGATGTCCAATTTATTTCACTTAACATTATGGTCTCAAGGTGCATCCATTTTCCCACAAAATACTCAAGTTTACCCTTCCTTATGGATAAATACCACATTTGTGTATAAATACCGCATTTTCTTTATCCATTCATCTGTTGATGCACATATAGGCTGGTTCTAGGACTTAGCTATCATGAGTTGTACACCTATAAACATGAGTTTGCTTATTTGTGATGCTGGGGATCGAATCCAGGTTCTTGCACATGCTAGGCATGCACTGTTGCATTGAGCTTTGTCAGCAGTCCTATGAATACAATTTGAACCTCACTGACCTGACCAGACCGCAGAGGACCGCAGGGATCTGTGGGCCACATTTCTGGGAGCCCTCCTAGAGACAGATTGGGCTTCTTTTTGTCCCTTGGAAAACGCCAAACTCTTTGTGACCTCAGGTTCTTTCTGCACCTGCTGGCCGTTCTGACTGCCATGATGATCCTGCAGCCCTTTCTTCCCCTGGTCCATTTTCCTCTTCAGCCTTAAGTTTGCAGTTTAAAGGTCTCTCACAGAGGCCCTGCTCAAAGTAAGCTCAGTCGCTGCTGTGTTCTGTGCACTCAGTAAACCTCAATATTTCCATCATAGCTCCTGTATCAATTTGAATTAACACAGTGCCTGCACATTTGCCCACAAATATGCAAGGATGTAGCTTCTGACCCTACTCCTTCTGTCTCATTACCCCTGCATCCAGCACATGGCCTAGCACACTGTATTCAGTTGTTACTGTGAACAAGTTAATGAGCGCAGGATCCGTCTGGCCTATGACAGAGTAGAGCTGTCGCTTTGCGAGGCTGAGGCCACGATCCCGGGCTGAGCCACCTTCACCTTTTTACCTTTTCCTAATCCCACCCCAGCTTTTACCGCTCAAGCTTGCACTGCAGATAAACTGGGAGGAAGAGTGCTGGTGAGCAAGGCAAACCCATCACTGTTTGTAAGAAAAGCATTCCCAACTTCCTCCCTTATCATAGGTCATGGGTTTGTTGTCATCGGCAAAGCCAGAAAGACAACCCCAGCACTCCTGATCGTGTGAGACCTACTTAAACTTCCTGAGACTGTGAAATCCTTCTTCCTTATTCACTTACTGGAAGTCCCCTGGTCCCCCAGCAAATACACATGCCTTGCAGAACCTGGAAAAGTCATTGGAAACTCTCCAGCTGTTATGAGCCATAGTTTAAAAACCTCTGAACTAACAAAATTATCATTCCGCCCCAGATTTAAACTGAATTGTGATGATTATAGTGTATATTCTGCAGTTCTGGTTGAGAGGGCAATTCAATTAGAAGCATCTATCTTCAGGGTCCTAACTCCACCCCCCCAAAAAAATAATTCTTTACGATGAAATTTCTAATGCTGTCTCTCAGCCTAAAGGTATGTTGTCTTGTAGAAAGTTGAGTAAGATTTCTTTTAGACAGTTTTTAAAACTCAAGAAAAAAGGGCAGAAAGGAGGATTTCACTACTTAAGAAATAACTCGGACACTGTTTTGTTTTGGTTTTTTTGGTATTTTTTCCCCAGTGCAAACTACTTCGTTTAGAACTTTAAAGTCGTCCTTTGTAGTGCCTTTGGCATGTTTGAGGAAATTTGGTTGAGCCATAATGAAGTTATTCCCAAAATGTGCACTGCTCATATGAAGATTCATTTCCACTCTTTTAAAAGAAACTGGCACGGAACTGGCATATGGGGACTTGTGATCAAAATCAATTCCATGAAAAAAGTGTGTGTGTGTGTGTGTCTTCACGCGCACACATGCGTGCATGTGCGAGGTGGGAAGTCCATTGTTCAGCCCTGTGACTCTTTGCTGAAAATGACCTTAGAAACCATTGAGTTCAGATCCTTGTTGTATAAGCAAGAAAAGTGAGGTCCACAGAGTTAGATGTGTCTCAATCTGAATGAAAATGAATGATTAATTCTGAAGTCTTTAACAGAAAGAACGCATACTCAGAAAGCGGAAGAGAACCAACCCTATGGCCATGGGCCACTGAGGCAGGGAGAGGAGGGCCACCCGCCCAGGGGGAGGTGGAAGTCCTCACCTGGCTGAGCCCATGGGGGCCTTGGGGAGGGCCCGAGGCTGCCCTGGTGGCCTGCAGATCCTGGGGCACCAAGCTGCCTTCTTCACCTCCCCCAGCATGCTCCTGGCATGAGTCAGAACGAGGGCTTTCTCTTATGCATACCTATGTGCGGCCATGGCTTTTCCTCAAGAGTGAACAGAAAGTTCTTGACCAGGTCAGGGTATGCACATCTACTCCACCCCTTCCCCGATGAACTCACTGCAAACCAGGCACACACAGAAAGTCCAAATGCTGCAGCTAAGCCCAACTGCGCAGTGTCGGAGTCTTCTGTTGTCAGTGTAGTAATTTGTTACCCATTGCTAATTTAGGGGGCAGTCAGGTGACCTGAGATGCATAGCTTCCTTGCAAGGGAACATTTCCCTGGAGGGCCAGGTTCCAAAAAGAATTTTCTGGAGCCCTGGTCAAGGCATTGGGACAGTCAGGTTGGACTCTAGTGTGACTTTCAATGATGTTGTAATGTGGGTTGAATCATATCAAACTGCTGCTGTTTGATATTTTTGACCCACAGCAAATTACATTTCCACATGATTCATTCATTCTAATATTTCAAGTGCATTCTGGTAGGGAATGGTGAATCCAGAAGAGTGGTATGTTACCACAGCAATTAAATTTCCTAGCATGAAACTTTTAGGATGGACACATCAAAAAACATAATGTTCTCAAAGACTGGAATCAAATAGAGGAGAGGCCAAAAAATCATAAGGAAAAGAGAAAAAAACCACAGAAGATAATACACAGGGACTGCTTTCCAAGTTCTAGCTTCAAGCACAAAGATGGTGGAGGCTGGGATCCAAAAGAGAAGGGAACCTTGGTACAATGAGGGAAAGTTCCAGAATGACATGCAGCATAAAGGAAATCTGTTTTCAAAAGTATAGAAAGAATAGGATGAAATTAAGAAAAGAGAACTGAGCGTCATTATTTCATACCACCCTACCTCCTTGCTATGCCACAGTGCTCCTTTTCTGTTCCTGGAACCCATCTAACCATTTCCTGCCACAGGACCTTTGCACTGACTGTCTTTCTGTCTGAAATGTTCTTCCTCTCTCCTGCCCATAGCCTGCTCCTGTTTGTCAGTGGATATCACCTCCTCAGAGCAACCTTCCCAGGCCATCCAATCTTCCGTAACCTTCCCTCCACCCAAGCCTTTACCCCCATTTTATTTTGTTTTATTTTCTTCATAGATGTCACCAATATACAAAATTGTCTTATTTATTTATTTCTTGCTTTCTGCTGTGGCTCATCCAAGCCCTGTAATTGGAGGTTCACTTCATAAAAACAAGAGTTTTGCTGGAATGGTGCCTGGCCAATGGTGGCGAACCTATGGCACTGGGCCCTCTCTGTTGGCATGTGAGCCAAGTTGCCCCAGTAGCTGAGCACCAGACACCACCACACACTGGGGCCACGCGCACGCTTGGAAAGGAGTAGCAGGCACCAGCAAGTGATGATGTCTCGAGCAGTTTGGGCACTCAGCCCCTGAGAGGTTTGCCATCACTGGCTTAGGCAGTTAGGGTCCTCTCAATGGCAAGCAACAGAAAGCCATAATTGAACCAGCTCCAACGATGAAAGGGTTTTGTTGGCTTATGACACTCTAAAGTCTGGCATCTGGTGTCGTTCCTTTCTACGTCTTCATTCTGCATTCCACAGTGTGGGCTTCTACCTAAACCTCATGGTGACAGAACGGTTGCAGTAGTTCCAGGCTTCACATCCATACACACTGGACTGAAAGTGCCTCTGTGTTAGGATTTGGGGGTCCAAAATGCTCCCTGACAGGGCTGATTTGGGTCACTCCACATGCTCCCCCCAAAACAATGACAGTAGATCAGGAAAGGGAGTTATGGGTTGGCTAAGGCATTACCTTATAGAAAGGAGATGGAGAAACAGGAAGAAAAAGCTGGATCCTGTTAGGAAGTGGGCATGGAGAGGCGAAGACATCTATTCCATTGCCCTGAACTGCAACTGCACGAAGATACCTGGGCTCTTACTTCAAAGGCGCTTCTTGTCTTGGTACAGAGGGCAATGTTACAGTAACGCAGAACGGCGCAGACGCTGTGCTGTGGCTCTCAAGGCCTCCATTAGAGGAGGAGGAAGGTGTTCACTATTGGATAGGCAGCAGGAAGCCGGAGACCCTGAGCGGTGGCAAAGCATAAGGAAAGGGTGTGGAGGAAGCTTGACTGGCAGCAGTCGGCAGGGCTGCTGGGATGGGGAGGTGGCTGGGGAAGCCAGTCAGGAGAAGCCCCAGCCCGGGCAAAGGGCCGATCAGAGAGTACAAATAACAGGAGGCAGAAAAACGGTCAAAACAATCCTTAACCAGACACGATGGCTGCCTTGACGCAGATGACAAATGAAAGCGCTCCATAAAAGACTCTGCCATTGCTAAGCCAGAATAAAGCCGTTCCCCGAGCGGCCGGGAGGACCTGTGAGCTCTCCACCTGCACTGAGCCCCTCCGGTTTCTCGGAGCTCCTGACCGCCCCAGACGCCTGCAGCAGGCACTGCCCCCCGGCAGACTCCTACACCGGCTTCCGGGCCCACCTCCTGGAGAGAACTTCCGGGGAACATTCTCCTGTCCTTTTTGGGTCTCGGCACCATTTATACTGGCTTCTGTATTTGTCAGCCCTCTACCTTCTCCCCCACACTCTGGAGCCTGAACGGAGCACGGCTGTCAAGGACACGAGGGTTTAGTCTCTAGGACCAAGAAGGTATGTGCTACCTGCAGCCTGGGGCAGAGAGGCGGTTTGGGGAGAAGATGGTGGCGTCCATGTGGCACGAGCAAGTGCCTAGCAGGGAGCCAAGCGATGATGTGAAATAGAAGGAGCCGAAGCTCAGAACTTAGGGCTTGAAGCGACTTAGTCCCGTTTTTCCCCAAATGAGGCTCGTTCTCCCGGCACGCTCTCCTCTTCTGCTCCTGCCTTGAGGTGGCCCAGCTTGGTTCTTCTCGCCCTCCGCACCCTCTTTCAGCTTCTTACTTTTGAGGTCCTCCGTAGAGAATTTAGATGGCCCACAGTCACGGCTTTATTGGATAGAAATCCTGGTTCCTAATAAGTCTTCTTTTGCAAGCAAGCGAATGTGTCCTAGAGATGAGCCAGGACTTACGCACAACCACGCAGCTCCTGAGAGGGAAGCCCTGGGCCACGACCCATGTTTCTCACTTCCTTACTGCCCTTTCATTAGCTCTCAGCCCGTGGGAAGGGCAGGCTGAGCTTTGGGATCAGCTTGCCCAAACTCCACGCCCTGCTGGGCTCCTTCCGGAACTGACTTGACACTCACAGAGGGCACGGTAAACACACAGAGACCTTCAAATGTATATATTTTTCCCTATGTATCACAGGTAAACATGTGTTTTCTGGACGGCATCCTGGCCCATGAAAAAGGATTAGTTTTCTGTTGCCATGTAACAAGATAAATTGCGTTTTCAAACCAACTCTGTATTCACAGATAACATTTAAGAAAAAACATCAGCAGACCACAGTCCTCCCCAGGCCGGCCCTTGAGGTGATGCTAGTGTCGTCCCCGGGCCCCTGGCACCTGCTAGTGCATTTCCTCTGGGAAGCCGGGAGGGTGGCGAGCAAAGCCCTGTTCCTTTTCTCTCTCTTTACCCACTTTGCGGTCATTGCCCCTCCCTGGCTCCTTCCCCACCCAAATTACAAACTCAGTTCCTGGACAGCTTGGGCTTTTGTGCAAGCTGAAATTTCCCCTTACTTTTTAACCGTGCATTCAACCCATGTCCGTGAAATTCCTAGGGAGTCCTGTGCTCGGAATGAAGACGGATGTGGCCAGGGACATCCCAGAGCTCCCAGGATGATGGCAAAAGCACAAGTCAATCAGCTCGTCACTGATGGGACAGCAAGGGTGGCTGGACAGCACATTCATCCAAACTAGGAAGGGACACCCTTGCATAAAATCAACAAGAAAAAATAAAGAGAACTATACTTCAAGTCCTCCTAAAAGAGCTAATTCTTAAGCGTAGCTTTGTGAAGCATAGTTTTTTGCAATCAGGTGATGGGTCATTCCATGAGTTTCAGAATGAGCACAATATATACACAGCTGGTGCAGCCCCCCGCCCAGGACCCTGGACTTTGATTTTATAATTGCCCTGTGATTGACAACGTCAAAGTAGCACATTACAGTCTCTTCTCCCAGATTTACCTTCAGCAAATGCAGACTCAAGTGTGGCTTTGATAAGCCCAGCTCTCTAGAGGATAGCTGAGGACAATAAGTCATGCTCAAGAAATAATTGTCACCTACAGTTCGAGTGGCTTTTGACCACAATAATGTCAGTCCCCAGTTGCCTCATCCACAAAGTCTTAGCATCTTCATTGTGCCAGATATTGCTAGGGTCTGAGTTTGAAGGGGAAAAATACCACGGGAAAAAAAAAAAGAATCTCTGCATTCAAAAGACTCAGAACCCTGTAGGAATGAGACACAAGTAAACCGTCAATCCCAATTTTGCAAAGTTTGCTTTGGAGAATATTTTATGACATGGAAAGTGTGCATAATGTATAGTACATTGTAGTGGCAGAATGACACCAAGGTAAGGTACAGTGATTTTTGGCTGCAAGGAATGGAGAACACAACACTAAAAGTGATTTTAATGAGAAGGCCACTTGTGATCTCAGATAACAAATGCCCAAAGAATGGTACTTTGGAATGAGTGGGTTAACTCCTCAAGGGCAAATACGCTCTCATTCCTCCATTCTGCCACTGGCAATGTGCTGGTGTTTCTCCCCTTCTAATCTGAAGGTGCGGACAGAGCTACATCCAATGAAAGGGCATCTTTCCTATAATTACACAAGGGGTAATCACAATATGCAAAAATATTTAAATTTTTAAAACTTATTACAGTAAAAGACACACTGTCATTAACCCCCTCAAAATAGTCCCCTTCCTTTAAACACAGTTATCCCACCATTCTTGTCCTTTTCTGAAGCAGTTCTGGAAGTTCCCTTTCATAAGCATCTTTAGAATGTGATTAAAAAAAAAAATATGGTGAATGCTGCCACTGAGTACAATCCATCAGAAAGACAGGCTTGGAAAAACATAATGGTGTGTAATCATCTTCGTCGTTCACTGGATTTGGCACCATGTGACTTCTGGCTCTTCCCCAAAGTCAAAATGACCATAAAATGTAAATATGTTCAATCAGTTTAGAATATGAAGGCAGCCACGAAGGTGCAACTAAAGACACTCATGAAAGAAGACTGCCAGAGCTGCTTCAGAAAGTGACAAGAACAGTGGGATAAGTGTGTCTGAAGCAAGAGAGAGCATTTTCAGGGAGGTTAATGGCAGTGTTCCTTTTACTGCAATTTTTAAAAACATTTAATCATTCACCATATTTTTCTTTCACGTCCTGTGTTTTACACCACTGCCACTGCAAGCACCAGATGCCTGCAGATGCTCCTCAGGCCCTATCACCCTGCAGTGGATCCTATGCCTAGGTCTGAGGCAATGATTGGCCCAGCAGAATGCGACATACATGACTGGTAACTGCAGTGTCCCTAAGTCACGGGAATGCAGAGAGAAGGCTGCTCTTAGTCACCGCATTGTTAACTCTGTCACTCCCAAGGAAACGAGCAGACAAGCAACGTACACTCAAATGTTTTCAGTGGGGTCACCGTGGGATAACATTACAAAAATCTTTCATTTTCTTCTTTTTACTTTTTTATTTCCAAAAGTGAGGATATATTCTTTTTATAATCCTAAGTAAGTAGGCTCTCTCTACAAAGTAAAGAAATGAGTAATACTTTGAGAATAGTTGTTGATGCAACACTCTAACAGGAAGTTTAGATTATGCATACAGGTAGCACCTACTGTATTTCCTACACAGGTGGAGCTTATCCTCTTGTAAACAACAAACACATATATACACAATATATCTAAGCTAAACTTTTGCTTTTCTTCTAATACTGAAAGTTAAAGACTAGGGTAGTACCCATCATGCTATTTCTGCCAAAGAAATAATGACTGGCCAAGAATTCAGAGAAGGCAGAGGACATGCGGAGCTTCCTGCTGTAGGTAAGAAGAAATGGGCATGGAGAATTGTAAAATATTAGTCTTCTTTTTTATTTTTTGTAGTACTGGAGATTGAACCCGTGCCGGGCAAGCTGTCTACTACTGAGCTACATCCCCAGCCCTTTTAAAATCTTATTTTGAGAGAGGTACTTGCTAAGTCACTAAGCTGCCCAGGCTGACCTCAAATTTGTGATCTTCCTGCCTCAACTTCCCTACTAGCTGAGATTATCGGTATATACTACCACACAATGCTGATCTTCCAATTCTTAAAGAAACTCTGAAGCAGATAATCATTGCAACTCAAGAAAGAAACATCCAACTCAGAATGCAATTCATCTATGTATAATTTCCCAAATGTCAATAATAAGGCAGCTACTTTAATTCTAATATGTAATAAGAACTCTGATTTGGAAAGTAGATGAAACAGAACAAGAACTGGATTTCCAGCACATCAGATTCTGTACAGAATCTAACCAAATTGACCAACAGAATTCATCCTGAGGTGGTGCTGCATCTGCCTGGCAAGTACAAGGTCCTGAGTTTGATTTCTGGTACTGAAAATAAAAGTAAATAAGATGCTTCCTTCCTTAAGGTTCTTCCCATTCATCTTAATCCTTGCTCCAGGATCTGGGTCTCTGAGAAAGATGAAGACGGAGGAGCTGTCTATTCTGATCACATGTTCCCTTGAGTCCTTCACCTGGGATTCTCCAGAGATAGAGGTAGGGTTGATAGGTGCAGCCCCTGGAGTGTGGGCTCCCCTCCACTTGGCGGGAGCCATGTAGGCGTCATTATTCATGAGAAAGGAGCACCAATGAAACCAAGTGAGCTGCTTCATCTGTTTGATCCATTTGATTAACATCCTTGAGGGTAAATCTTTGAACCCTTGTACTTCTGTAAGTTTTCAAGGGCATGATTTCTGTCTGCACAACCACTTTTAAGATAGTTGTCACACTTATTTTGCAAATGAGAAGAAAAATAAGATTTCAAAGATAAGATTGTCTGTTCCAGGTTAGATGGCTGTGAATGGCATAGTCTATGGTTTTTTTTTTTAACCTGGGTCTTATTCATCCAAATCCAGGGGTTTCCCCTTGATACCCAGACAGCCAGAGCAGCCAAGAAAGAATAATTAAGGATGATAGCTGAAACATTCACATGGACTTTCCGTTTTCCTTTCTTCTTTTTCATTTCTCCTTCCTCCCATCCTTCCTTCCTTCCTTCCTTCCTTCCTTCCATTCTCTCCTTCCTTCTTTCCTCCTTTCCTGCCTCTTACTGCTTAATGCTAAGGTCAGAGCTGCCATTTTGGGGATAAAAACAAATACATTAAGTTAAATGTTCTCTTCCACCCCCAACCTTTTATCTTCTCATCCAGCTTTCGGTTCAATTAGAGCCACCTTCTGGGAGACTTCAATACCACATTCTAAGTGCCAAAACCATTCTCAGCCATACTGGAGGCTGTGGCATAGTTTGAAAAATTAAATGCATTAAAATTATATTGCTGGCTACTTAAATACCTCTCATCATTTATAAAACATCGTCTCCTTTGGTTTCTGATATTTTTAGCGCAATAAAAATATCCAACAGACCAAAAGACTCGTGTTTGTTCTGATTTCCCAAACCAGACTTCAAAAGCTAGATTGTAAGTTACCTTGCTTATTGAGAGCCATTCCTCCTCAAAAAAAGGAGAGAGAGAGAGAGAGAGAGAGAGAGAGAGAGAGAGAAAAGGAGAGAGAGAGGAGAGAGAGAGAGAGAGAGAGGCTTCAGCATGATACAGATCTTTGTGGCCTGGTGGACAGCAGACATTCCTCTGGGCTGACATAACCAGGTCCGTGGTTTACTGCAACGCCAGTGCCTTGACCCCGAGTACAGCAGGACTCAGACAGGATCTATCTTTTGAGCACTGTTTTTGAATGGGCTCAGCCTTGAGAAATGACTTTGGAAGGTTATCTCAGAATGGCCCATTTGTTTAAAATCTGTGAGTCCATCACTCCTAAGTGTTACGTGAGCAGAGCAAGACTGTGCCTGGCAACTCCCACCCCCACCCCTCTGTCACTCCACTCCCTCGAGGTCAGGCAGAGTGCACCCAACAGAGGGCAAAGCTCTGTGTTCCTTTGGTCAATTATAATAATGATGATAGTGACACATATGGCTTGTTCTCATTTGCAAAATACAGAAAATGGGATTTACATTTGACTAGAATGACATTTTACTATTTGACTAGATTGAGCATCCTATTTCCTTTGAAATAACCTCAAAGAGGCAATCTCTGTGTCCATCGCTGGCAGGGTAGACAAGCGAACCAGGTAGAGTTGTGGGCTGCATTGGAAGTAACGGATTAGATATAAGCAGGACAGCGAGGATGGGCCGTGAAGGGATAGTACTGAGTGAAAAAAGAA